AAGATAAAGAGTGATATTTTGGCGTTAAGATTGTGGAGCAATTTAGTGGGCAGCCTTCCTATAAATTATAGATAAGCTTGAAACATTTTTCACAAGATAATTTGTGGTACATGCAAGTAAACTCCTGGGTAAGAGAATTGATCTGATTTTGACTTAGAAGGCTATGTCTGGCGAATAGGATTTTAGGTTAAGACAAGGATTATATACAAGTAGTATGATGAAGGTCATTGTGATCAAGCCAAGTATGCACATATAAAAGGAGGATGTGTGAATAGTAAGTCTGTGTATGTGAGCAGGAATATTGTTTTGAAAGGATTGTAAGTATGATGGCACATTTATTCGCAGGTGAATTTGTTGAAAAAACATTCATAGATTAGCAGGATCAAATTTAAAAAAAAAGAGAAGATTTAGAAAAGTTTTAACAGTGCCCATATACAATTGATAAATTAACCCAGTGCTCATATCACTTTTCGTTATTTATTCTCAAATTTACTATGTTTTATTGTTGGTAGTGATGAAAGTGGCCTGATTAAATGAAAAATATCTCTCTAGTATTTTTTTCATTGCCTTAGATTATGAAAAGCTGATAAAAATATATCTTTTGACCAGATAGTGATATCGGTCTTTCACGTGTTCAATTGATCTGAGCTCAAAGAAATCATGTGCCAGTCATCGCACGAGTTTCCCTAAAAACTGACCCTATTACTCAAATAAGATGAAATAAATTATGTTTACATCCATTCGTTTGTAGCTGAGGCCTTAAATATATTGATCGTAAGGACATAAATACTAGTCCAGTAAACTCTTCTAGGATGAATATAGCCTCCTTCGTTTCGGTTAAGAAAAGAACTCGCGCTTTAGATATAGGTCCAAGTACCTTCTCTTGAAAGGTGATAGGCAATCTCGCATTCTTAACATAGATGAAGATTTTATAATTGCAAAAGAAATATTAAGTATACTTTTTGCCCATTAATTTGTATTCTAGTCCTCGGCCAGTGATTGCCTCCTTCTTTCCATGTTGGCTGCACGGTATGCAGCTATTGAAGGACACAAACATATTTTTGAGAAACTTGGTGACCCAAATCCCGAAACGGCAGTTCTTTCCCGTTTAGTCGCCTATTCTTCTTCATTGGTGAGCATGAGATTATTTTATTTATTATGTCGGTACCTTCTATATTTCAATATTTCCATTATAAAAAAAAGAAACTCACAAGTCATAGAGCAGAAACTTTTTTAAATTTACATAATTTATGTAATAAGACTATTTCATTATTGCTTAATGGTAACATAAACAGAAAGGTGGAAAAATAGTTGCCCATATGATGAACGAAGGAAAAAAGATTCATGTTTATTTAATGTTCCTATGTTCTTTAGTATGTTGACATCACAGTATCAGGC